CTCCCGATCTTTCTAGGCAAAAGCTCCGGCAAGGCTTCCGAGAAAGTCCCGCCGCGGAAAATATGAAGCGCGCCATAACCTTCAAACGCGCACAGTTTTCAAAATAAGCGAACGAGCAAAGATCCACAAAACGGCCCACGCCTGCGGGAAAATAAGCTCGACAGCCAGCGACTTGCCGCGTTGAATGCCGCTCCATAGCCAGAATTACCCGCAAGAGCTCCGCAAAAATATTTGGCCAAGAGCAGAGAGGCCGCGTCTCGAATCTCATCGACACAACCAGGACCCCAATGGCTACCTGAAACTGACTAGCTGACCCAGCCGCACCCTTCCCCCCCGTCCTCCCCTTCTAGTTCTGCTTCCCCCCTCCCAGTGCTCTCGATTTCGCTTCGGGATAGAGATTCCTTCCCCCTGGCTAGTATGGAATATTACCTGGCGCTTCATCTTCGGTGGCATCATCCGCGCAAATATAGATGATCAAGGCCACACAGAAAAGCCACCGGACGCAGAAGGCGAGAAACTGCCCGACAATCAGCCACTCCGTCACGGAGTGGATGTTGCCAAACAAGAGCGTAAGGCCGCGGAAGGCTTTGTAGACCTTCGCCTTCGGGTCAAAAACCCCAATCCAGTTCGTATCACTTCCAGCCTTCGAAATGCTTACATTCTTGTAAGCGTTGGCGATGTCGATCACCCACTGACAAAGCCCCGCCCCCTCGGGGTCCGCACCATCTTCGGCAGTGTCGAAAGACGGTAGATGTTCCAAAGCGGCCCAAGCAACCTCCCGCCACCCTGGGTCGGACGGGCGGGTACCCGGGAAGGGGTCAAACGTGTACTCTTCGCAGGCCAGGGGGTCAGCCCGTTTGCCCCCCTGGTCAAACACCCGCAAATCCCGCCAAAAATCAACCCGCGGCGGGCCGCCATCTTCTGCCAAAATCGCCGAGCTCGACGCAAGAGCGAGGGCATGGTGAACCGACGGGATCGGCATCGCCGATGAGATGTCGGAGCAAACATTCAACGGGATTCCATTGTCACAGAGGCGGATCTTATCCGCCTCATGGTGCGCAAAGCGGGTCAAGAGGATCCGCGCCCCCTTATCCCAAGCTTCGTCCAGGGTAAAAGGCCCCTGGAGCCAACCGTCCTCCGTCTCTTGTATCGTGGTGTCCCAACAATGCTTGGCGTCCGCGTCCGGCATCCACGAAGAGCTGCGTAGCCGCAGACGCGAAATATTTTCCGCACCCTCGACAGCAGCTGCCAGGTCGCCCGAATCCGACCGCCTCAGCGACAAAAAAGAGACCAAGGTAACCAACCGCCTCAGCGACAGTCTACTAACGTGATTCCTTGAAAAAGAGAACAGGTCACCCTACTTGTGCTCAAAAATACTACAGCTGCCTGGAAGGAGAGAAAGGTAGGTGGGGCGCGAGCCATCCTTCTTGGCCCAACCAAAGGCATGAGCCCTAAAATTCACACTCTAGTGTACAATCGGATCCCATTTCGGATCACCCTACCGCTAGATACTCAGCGAGAATTTCTCTTTGAAGAACTTCCTTCATTTCAACCAGTTTGGAGCCTCAAGCTCGTTAAAGAGAAATACCATACTGCCTCGCAGTTTTGAGCGTGAAAAATAAATTCTTGAGGGAGCTTCACTCTCTTCGTAGCGAAAAGGGAGTCGAAGGTCCCTAAAAAGAAGCACACCTTAAACCACTACGGCCCCCCCGGCCGTAGTCACAATGGCTTCAGCGCCCACAATAAAACTGCCCCCGCTGGGGCCACCCTCTGTGGTGAAAGATCGCAAAACTCCCCCCGCTGGGGGATGCCCTCACTGGCGCCACCCACTTCGGTGTAGAACAACTAGCTAACGCTAGTTCCAGCAAAAAGTACCACCTAAACCTACGTCCCCCAGACGCACATATCGATGACTCTACATCGCTCCTCCCCACTCTAGGGGAGGAGATCGCAAACGTGCAATAGCTTCTACGGATCTGCCAGCCGATATAGTGCGAACGGGGGACCCCAAATCCCAGTTACTACACGAAAAGGATCTACCGAGGTAGATATGTCATTAATATGGAATATTACCTGGCGCTTCATCTTCGGTGGCATCATCCGCGCAAACCCGTGGAGCATTTTGGAAAGTGGGTGGGGAACTTGCGCTAACAGGGGTCGCCACTTGTGCGCCCCTTGCTCTGCGCCATGCTCTACGAACAGAGAGCGCGTCTGGATTCAGCTCCCAGAAGCGGAGTCCAGCCTTCCTCGGACCCAGCTCCCGGCGAAAACTGCACGGCGGCACGACTTTTGGCGCCTGAGTTTTATGGCTATGGCGCTCGCCGGCCTGCGTGGCAGCTTGCCAAAGTCAACGGCTGGCAAGCTGTAGCGCACAAATGAGGCTGAGGGGCCAAGGAAGTGCGAAGCTGTTGAAGTGGCTTTCTCAACTCTCAGCAGCTTTATTCTCCTTCGTTTCTGCGTTACAAATGCAGAAATGAAGGACAAAAGAAACGCGAAGAGCTTTCTCCTGTCCTTCGTTTCTGCGTTACAAATTGCCATCATGATTGGCAACCTGTAGCGCAGAAATGAAGGGCAAACTATTGAAGTGGCTACTCCAACTGTCCTCCATCGGAAGAAAGTTGAAAAAGTAGCCACTTCGATAACAACTGCATGACAAATTGCCACAGTAGTGGCAGTTGTTGAAATTGAACAACAACGCAAACGCGTTCAAATTATAGCCACTGCAGCAAGAATTATCTGTGTTGTTGTTCAGTTTGCAACTTGTCACGCAGCTTTTGATGAAGTGGCCACATCAACTCTCCACCAGAGTGACGTGAGCAGCTGCGCGACACGTTGCAAACTGAAGCTGGACAACGACGCCAATTGTTGAAGTGGCTATGTCAACAATTTGCGTCGTGTGCGAGCAAAAATTGTGAAAGTGGCCACTTCAGCAGTTCGGGTTCTGCGAATTGTTGAAGTGGCCACTTCAGCAATTCGGGTTGTGCAAAATGTTGAAATGGCCACTTCAACAAAACCCGAATTGCTGAAGTGGCCACTTCAACACTTTGCACAATTATTTCAACAATTTGCACAACGCAAATTGTTGAAATAGCCATTTCAACAATTTGCACAACCCAAATTGTTGAAGTGGCCACTTCAACAATTCGGGTTGTGCAAAATGTTGAAATGGCCATTTCAACAATTCGGGTTCTGCGAATTGTTGAAGTGGCCACTTCAACAGTTCGGGTTGTGCAAAGTGTTGAAATGGCCATTTCAACAATTCGGGTTCTGCGAATTGTTGAAATAATTCGGGTCGTGCAAAATGTTGAAATGGCCACTTCAACAATTCGGGTTCTGCGAATTGTTGAAATAATTCGGGTCGTGCAAAATGTTGAAATGGCCATTTCAACATTTGCAATTTAGGGTTTTGTTGAAATGGCCATTTCAACACTTTGCACAGCCCGAATTTTTGAAATCATGGCCACTTCAACAATTCGCAGAACCCGAATTGTTGAAGTGGCCACTTTCGCAATTTTTGTTCAATTTCAATAAATTGTCACTATTGTGGCAATTTGTCAAGCGCTTGCTATTCAAATGGCTACCTCAACTCTCCGCGAAGTTGAAGTAGCCACTTCAACACAAGCTGCGTGACACGTTGCAAACCCAAGCCGAACAACAACAAGAACGCAAATTGTTGAAGTGACTACTTCAAAAATTTGCACAGCGCAAGTTTTTGAAGTGGCAACTTCAACAGTTTGCCTGTGCGAATTGAAGTAGCCACCTCCATAACAACTGCGTGACAAGTTGTAAACTGAACAACAACGCAAACTGTTGAAGTGGCTACTTCAGCAATTTACTGCGTCGCTGTTCAATTTCGTCACGCAGTTGTTATTGGTATGGCTATCAGAAAGCTGAAGGGGCCTTGGCTTGAAAGTTCGCCATGCCATCGGTGAACACATTTTTAAAACATGCCCGATGCTTTTTCTATATAGACGCGAACGCTCCTCCCTGGTCCTCCCTGGTCCTCCAGGGTCCTCCCTACTCCCTGTCTATAAATTTCTCTGGTATTAATATGGAATATTACCTGGCGCTTCATCTTCGGTGGCATCATCCGCGCAAACTCAAGAAGTTCCAATTCCCAAGTACAAAATTCTCAAAAAAACGAAAATGATTTTTCCGCTCTGTCGAAGCAAGCCGCCGCAGCAACGAAGAGTCTGGCTTTGGTGTCCGCCGTCGGTGTGCCGGGTAGCGCGCTGGTTTCTGCCACTGCAAGGCCCGATAGTGCAACATCCCCGGCCCGAATAAACGCAAACCTTCCGGCTCTGATATCGCATAAACCGCTCTGCCGCGAAGAGGCGGGGAAACCTGGCGAACCGCAATAGGTCAGGACGCCGCGGGTCATGGAAGGTCCGCATTTTTCTCCTACTCATGGTCGCCAAAGCGACCTCAACAGCCACAATCTTTTACCTAAAAGCACGTAGCCGCTGCTACGTCCGCGCCGCTCCCCTGGCAGTTGCCCTGCCATTACTCTATACCGAAAGGCTCAACACCCGAACAACCCGACGACGTGGCGCTCTGCTGTTTGCGTGCTACTGCTTTTGTATTTTTCAAAAGGATTCAGAAAAAGGAAGTTCACTGCGTTCGGGTTTTAGCTACGCCAAATTCGTTTTCTTTCATAGTGCTTTTTGCATACAGGCAGACCGTCGCTGCCTCTCATTTGCTAGTTACTTTCTGGAGGTGCTTGATTGCTGGAGACCGCTGCGAGGTCGTTAATTTCTAGAGCTTCAGATCATACAACTGCAAGCCCACCAGTATGCTGCTTTCATTTTGGAGCAGCTGCTTACTGCCTAAGAGGTGGGATTTTTCGAATCGGGTAAAATTAAAGTTCAAACGACGGTCCTCTGCGGCCAATACGCACCGCGCGTAAACCTCCGCCTGGGAAGCTGCAGGAAACTGATGCTCGCCGTAGGCCCGGTGCACGCTGCTTCCCACCCAAGAAGAGGGGGCTTGGCAGGCCAGAGTTCTCGCGCGCTCAATGTCCGCGCGCCCCTCTTTCCAGTATTCTTGTATTTTCTCGAGCGGGATCGGGAGGTGCGGCCGCGAGCTACTACTGGTGTGGTTTTGCAATCCTGCCGCAGCGGTAGTGCCCGTCGTGGTGGGCCTGCTACTGTGGCCGGCAGGGTGGAAGGCGGAAGTACTACTTGATGCTGCCGCCGCAGCTGGATTCTTTTGCCACTTAAAGCCGCCTTCCCCATCCGGAACGAGGGTCCCTCCCGGCCTGGTCGGGCTACTTCCGGTCCGCGCGGGCGCATGCTTCCTCGATGCTGCCGCTTGGGCAGCATTTTCAATACTGCTCTCCACCTTGAGGCGCTTCCGGTCCGGCTCGTATTGCGCCTTCTCCGCATCGGAAAGGACATGCTTCCACTTCCAGGCGGCCTCCGCAAAAACTTCCCGCGCCTGGTGCTGCTTGGCTACGCCGTAGGCGCTGCTCATTGCATCGGGGTTGTGCGCCATCGTCAGCTTGTTTTCCTTCTCAATTTGCTTCCCGATGTAGTTAGACCGAGCGGAGCACTTCTGCCGTTCCGTCTTCTTCCTTGCCTTTGCGGTGCGCACCGCTTGCCAGGCATGCTGCGCCAAAAGTTCCGAGCTGAATTGCGGCACTAGCACCTCCTGTGACAATCCCTCCACCGTTCTCCTCTTCGTGTGCAAGCCGACTTTTTTTGAAGAGATCGCATGTTGCGACTCTTCTAACCGTGTGCCCAATGTGACCACCTCGGCCACTGTCTTTGCAGGCCGGCCCGTTTGGATCTTGGGCACAGGCAGTCGTGAGCGTGTCCTTCTGGAATCGCTTCAAATACTCCACCGCCCGAGCCCGTACACGTATGACGGTTGCCTTATCCACCGCATATCCGACCAACAGCCCGAGGGATTTGGAGAAGGCCGCGTACGGAAGCGAAGCGCTGAACATGATGGCCCCGACCACGTGCCCCTTCACATCGTCGAAAATTGCCTTCACATCGTCGAAAATATGGAATATTACCTGGCGCTTCATCTTCGGTGGCCTCATCCGCGCAAACCCGTGGAGCTCCCTGGCCGTCTCATACCCTGGCAGGTTTTCTCTCATCAGGTGAAAGTCCAGCTCGTCCTCTGTTTTACGCCTTTGTGTCTGCGACGCCCTTTGTTCCCCGTAGTGGTCATTATGCATTTTTGCAAAGATCGATCTGGGTGGTCCTCGTGGTCTACAAGAACGTGTTGATTCTAGGTCTGGTCGACACGAAAATCTGAAGCAAACTATTGCATGGGTTACAGCGAGACCTTTTGTTCGCCCGGACGAATACTTATCATGCAGGATAGGCATCACATCGGGGAGCTTTTTTCATCAAAAAAGCATCTGCACACCAAACTCTCTGTCTTTGTGTCAACAACATCTTGGTCTTCATGATCATAATCATGATCATGCGAAGGCTGCATTGCTAGTATCGAAGGATCTCTCTCAACATAATCCACAACGACGTCCCAGAACGAGACCCAGATCATGACCTCTTTGCAGCTGATACTGGTGTTGATCGAAAGGCACAAAGTTCACCTCGAACGCATCTGCCACGGCGTTCTGGATCATTTGGTTCACTTTTTCCCGGTCCTCCGGCTCCGCATGCTGCTCCCAATCCCAGTTTTGCAGGTCCTCAAGTGATATCAAATGTAAAAATGTCTGGGTCTGGAAGAATGCAACTTGTCATGCTAAATCTGAAGCATGCAAAAATCTGTGTTGCATGGTTACCAAAAGTCGTCCAGATTTGACCAAGTCGGGACGCAGTTTCTCATGCAGGATAGGCATGAGAAAGATCGCACAGAATCTGTCATGCTAGGTCCTGCATTCCAGACCTCATGGGTCATGAAAAAGCTGGATGACAAATCGCGCATTCTTCCAGACCCAGACATTTTTACATTTGATAAGTGAGACGTGCACTGTCTGGGCTTCGTCCTGGTCATGGTTGATCGCCGGTATCCTGAGTAAAAACGTACCCACACCAGAGTTGTAACGCAGATTTGCAAAGACAGGAAGACTTGTAATGCGCATCCCCATAAGAGCCATTTCCAGTCGTGTTTTGGAATTTGTGATGCTGTGAACAGGATGAGCAGATTATGGGGTCGTCAACGTTGTACTTGCCTCAGACCGTAAAAAAAATTCTGCGCGCATTTTTTCGCGGCGCAAAGCTAGTAAACCTGTGCACGCTAGTGAGGGGCTGACTTGAACGCGGTTTGTTTTACCTAGCTTGTCAGCAACACTGCTCCAGTAGGTAAGTGAGTATTGACGCGAAGGGGGGCGGGGTGCTGGGGGTTCTTCTGTGGCTGATGTTTCCACCTAGAAAACGCCGGGCGCGCGCAATATTTTTCTCCGTTTTCCGGATTGCTCTCTCCGTGCAGCTATTTGCCGCTATGGCCTGGATCAGCGTGTGAGGCTGGAAACGCCCCGCGAGATGTCTACACAGGCCCTGGCCTCGTCGTCTCTAGCAGGCACCACGCACACATGTTGGCCGCGAAGGCCTTTCCGGAGCCCTTCCAAAAAGGGGGGGCCGGAGGGGTGCCCGGAACCCTAAAAAAAAGCCTATTGCTTTTTCTTCGAATCACGATGGTGCTACCCCTCCCCAAAAGGGGTCCCGGAACCCCTCTGGGAACCCTTCCCGAAAGGCTCTCGGGCTTTTCGCATTTTGCCGAAAAAGCCGCAAAGGCAAAATGCGCGCGCGCCTGCCGGTACACGCGTGCACAGCTGCGCGGCATTAGAAACAAGGGGAGGCGCAGCCGCGGCCGGTTCCGTTTGCGCCCTCGACTCCGACCGACTTGCACAGATTGAGGCCCATTGTCTAGCGGCTGGACTGCAAGAGGGCCTGCTGCAGCACCTCCAGGCTGCAGGGGCGCTCCGAGGCAAGTCCGTGGAGCAGCAGCGCCGGATAGCTCCGTCTTTAGCCACTGAGAAGCGCTGCGAATAGGCTAGCGATTTCATTAGGTGTGCAACATAGTGGGGGGCTATACGTGTGCAACATGATGGATATCAAATACAAAAAAAGGCGCGCGGAAAATTTTTTACAGCTTGAGGCAAATACAAGTTTGACGACGCCATACAGATGAATCTGTGATGCGGCTGCACTTGCTAACCTGCACTACACTGCATGGCGCAACTTGTCACGCGTGACTCACAAAACTCCTAGGTTTGTGTTGCAAAATCCCCATCCTGACTCTGGTGTGGGTATGTTTTTACTCAGGATAGCCGGCCCCTGGTGGTCAGGCCCCACGTCGTCCTTTACCTTCTGCAGCAGCCGGGCCGCCAAATAGCCGGCGAGGTGGGCCGAGAAACCCTCCTCCATCAGCCGCATTTTGGCTTCCACGAGGTCATATCAAATGCAAATAGGTCGTCTAGCGCTCTGGAAAAGTGCATAACGCAGGTGGACCACTACATGAGTGTTTTACAACATGACCCGCGATTTTTGCTCCTGTGAAGATGCATGTCCTGGCATCACAGGTTCGTTTTTTGAGGGCTCGTTGCTGGTGCTCACCCCGCATGATGCGAAATCGAAATGGCCTCTACTGCTCCGCACAGCAACATCTGGACACTCCTGTAGAAGTTGCTGCTCATGCAATACAGTTTTTCATCGATTCCAAGAGCCGCATCAGAGATTGCACTCTACTTGTTCCAAGGAACTCAGACAAAGTCTTGCATTTGGTAGATCATCCTGGTCCTCGGCGGCGACTAACGCTTCGGCGCCTGACGACCGGGTTTCCGCCTGAACCTCGAGCAAGTGGTCTTCGTGCTGCTTGCGGTAGACATTTTTGAGGAACCCCCGCATGCGGCCCACCTGCTCCGGTGCCTCGACGTCGTCGAAGTCCAGACCCATCCTCTGCATGATCTCCATGTCGTGCGGGTCCGTGGGTCGCAGCAGCAGCGCCTCGTCGTCCACCTTCTCGTCTTCCACCTGGTCGGCCAACCGACGGGCGTATTCCCCGCTCAGGCCGGCCGAAAGAAAGCCTTTCTCCACCACCGCCCCGGCAAACTCCACAGGGGACTTCTCGTGGAGCTGCCCCGCTCTGTCGTTGGAGCCCCGTCTGTCGCGGAGGAGAGGCGACGTCGCGCTTTGCTCCTCTTCCCGCGAAATCGTTGCAGCTCCCGTGCTGGTCTCGTCGCCTGCTAGGCACAACTTTCGTAGCACGTACAGGCCGATGAGAAGCAACAGCAAGAGAAGTAGTAGCAACCATAGGAGGCAGCATGGGTCGCACGAAGCTTCTTCCTCCGCCAGGCTTCGGGTGCTGCTAGAAGTATTCTGCCCGGTTTCGTTGAGATCTATGGAAGCGTCAGGATTGAAATCGTCAAAGTTGAAATAATTTGCAATGCATAAAATGCATGACCCGAGGTACGTGTGTTGCAGAGCAGGCAAGTGAGGCCGATTGTAAGCCTGTTTGGGGTTACAGCTCGAGCTGCTAAAGTAGCATGAGAAAATCAAGCTTCTTTGCCTAAACAGCATGACAAACTGGATTTAGGGACCACCGAAATTTGTCATGCGCTACTAAAACTTGGAAACGGGGTTCCAACTGGCATCCATTTTATGCATGACAAATTATTTCAACTTTGTCGATTTCAACTCTGACACATCCATAAGATCGAGGGTTTTCTTGAAGACGACTTCGTCTGGCCGCGGCCCGAAACTCGGCGGCGCTTGCGCAATGACGTCATATCAACTGCAAAAGTGTCTGGGTCTGGAAGAATGCAAAGTTTGTCATGCTTGTCTGGCATGACTAAAGAGTTTGTGATGCGTGTCCAAGAAGAAACGCTTTTGCTTGTCATGCAAAACGCAGTTTGTCATGCGGAAAGCGCAAAACGAAGCAGCGCAAATACTTCTCATGCTTGGCTGTGCATTACAGAGAATTCACTACTCACAACTCAGCATTACAAGTTTCCAGACCCAGACATATTTGCAATTGATACGTCAACCACGTCAGCAATGTCGTCAATTACGTCTCCCATGTCCCCGTCGTCCCCGCCTTCGCACGCAGTTCGCAGCCTCGCGACGAGGGCGTCAGCCTCGCTTTGCTCCAAAGTGAAGTAGTCGTCGACGAAGGGTTGCAGCAGTGCCTGCGCCGACAACACGATATGGTCGCAGGTCCGCGTTCTGTTCCCCACCTGGTCTCGCAGGCCGTCCAGGTCCAAAAGCGGCGGCGCGATCAGATCATTCACGCCGTCCAGCACGTCGGCGATGCTCGGGCTGCCGCCGGCCTGACACGCAGTCAGCAGCAGGGTGGTCTGCGCCTCCAGATCCGCCTCGGAAAGGGTCGCATTGGCGACGAACGGCCGCAGAAACCTGCGCAGCAGGGCGACCAGCAGCGCGCAATCGACGTCCCCCGTGGCCACGAGGTCGTGGAGGTCGGCCACGCTGGTCGCGTTGGCGACGGGCACCAAGACGCACTCCGGATTGTGCCACATTTCGGAAATTTTGTCGTCTTCAATCCGGTCGGCGAGCGGAAACCGGATCCCCTCGCGGTCGCACGCACCGTCCGCGCTGCCCTGGCCCTTGCGGCAGCAGGCAGGCTCGAGAGGCCATGACGTGCTGCTGCTGTTGGCAGCAGGTGCCGCGGCCCCGGCGGGACAGGAGTCGCATTTGCCAAGCTGGTCGCAGTTCGCACCGGACGACGCAGAGGAGGCTCCACCTGCCAAACACGAGTGCCCGGGATCGGTAGCATTGTAAATCCAGTCTGGAAAAGAGACGCAGGAGAAGTAGCTGTCTGGATTCGCTGTGCTGTTCACATAAAGTTCCGTCACACCATACCCGGGCACCGAAACCCCATACCCGGGCACCGCATAATCTTTCACGTTCCCGAGCATCTTGCACTCGGCCGGCATACCGGGCCCTTCGTCCATTTGTTCTTCATCTTTCAAAAATTTGCAGCATCCTCCAATGTAGGAACTGCTCGCATTGTATGCATTGCAAATATGTCTGGGTCCTCTGGAAGACTGCAAGTTTGTCATGCTCGGCTGGCATGACTCTTTAAATCTGTGACGCATGAGCCTTTTTGCCCCTCAATCTGTGACGCATGAGCAGGAAACGAGCAGCACCTTGTGCGACGTGCAAAAACGCAATTTGACGTGCGCAATAAAACGGAGCTATTAGAAACCCTAACACATTCAAAGCAGCTCAAAAACTTTAATGAAATGCTTGGCTGCGTATTGCAGTGCGCCCACCATTCACTGATTTGTATCACAAGGTTCCAGACCCAGACGTATAATTTGCAGTGGATACGTTGGCCGCGGCTGCAATAGTGGAGTTCACAGTAACTTGGCAGCGACCCGGACACAACGCGGAGGTGTAGGCACCGTTGACCTGGCTCATGCCGCAGGTGTCGTAACAGTCGAAGATCCGCGAGTGCATTGGCTGCAAGTGCAGCTCCTGCAAGAATGACGAGGAGGTACTACTGACGTAATCGCCCGTCTTGCAGTCGGGACAGGTCATCAGCGCCCCAGGCTGCCCAAGGACAGGCGACACGTTGGGATTGGTGGTCGTCGTGGTGGTTGTCGTGTTCGTTTCGCAACACACGGCGTCGCACACCGTGCGGCCAGGAACGTAGGTCAACACAAACGGCCCCGTGGGCGGCACGGCGATGGTGGACGGGTCCACGCAAAAGTTGCCAAGTTTCTCCGGCGGAACCAGGTCCCGCCGCCCTTCCGTTCTCCCGCTGCAGTCGTGTTCCACCAGCGCACACGTAGGCCAGCAGATCTGAACATCCGTGGTCCCAGAACCTGAGGAAGGAGAAACGCCGAAGATGCCTGCTGGTGCGAAGCCAGAGCTTGTGTCGCACAAGGCGCAGTTCTCGCCGCCGTCCTGCGTACAGGCTTCGCCAACGGCCGCCTCTCCGTTTTGGCACGTGCAGAAGTTCTGCACACACTGCTTCGTGACTGCGTCCACATGAAGCCCGTCATGGTCACACGAGGCGCACGTGTGCTCGCCATTTGCAGTGCACGCCCCTCCCGTCGAGGCCGTGCCGTTGGTGCAAACGCATGTGTTGTGCTCGCAGGCTTTAGATGTGTCATTCACGCTAACACCCGGGTCATTGCAGGAGGCACAAATCTCTGTATCGTTTGCAGTGCACTCCGCACCGACCGCGGGCACGCCCCCGCTGCACGAGCAGACGTTTGGCTTGCACAGCTGGCTGTCGGTGTCGAGGTGGAAACCCTCCAAGGTTTCGCAGGACTTGCATACTTGCTTGTTGTGCTCCACACAACTCGGGTCGCCCGGGTCAACCGCGTCGCCATTCGTGCACTTACACTCGTTCTGGATACAGGTGTTGCTCGCGGACGGGCGGTGCCCGGCGTCGCAGCCACTGCAGATGACCGCGCCGTGTGTGGTGCAGTTCGCGCCCGTGGCCGGCGTGCCGCTCGGGCAGCTGCACTGGTTGGGGGCGCACGACCACGAGGGCGTGCTTTGGTCGAGGTGATACCCCGCCGCAGTGCACGCCGTGCAGTTCTGCGTCGTCCCGTCTTCATCGCACCCAGCGCCCGTCTTTGGCAGCCCGTGGTCACATTCGCACATGCGCAGCTTGCATTCCGCGGACCCACTGGCGTTGGAGGTCGTGTAGTAGTCAGCATGACTGCAGTCGGTACACACCTCGGTGTTGTGCGTCGGGCACTCTGGCCCCGAGGCTGGCGTCCCGGTTCCGCAGGTGCAGAGATTGAGCACACAGATGCTAGTGCCTGTGGTGGGGACTGCTTCCTCGTGGTAGCCGCTATCACACGACCCGCAGTCTGGCGCACCATCCACGTCGCACCCTGTACCCCTCGTACCCGAGCCGAAGTTGCAAGTGCACTGCTTTTCTACGCAAGCACCGTCCTTCAGAACTGCTCCTGGAGTCGCGCAAGAGGTGCAGAATGCACTATCGTGCGCATCGCAATCGGTCCCGTTCGCGGGGCTGCCAGAGGCGCAGGTGCACTGGTTCAAAACGCAGCTGTCGCCTTCCCGGTGGTATCCAGAGTCGCAGGTGTCACATAGATTCGCGCTGTTGGCCGTACAGTTCTTGCCTGACCTCGGATCGCCGTTTTCGCAAACACAGATATTTTGCACACACTTCTTGTCTGCGTCCATCGTGTAGCCAGCATCCTTGCATGTCTCACAGATGTCGCCGCCATTTTCCGTACAGGTTGCGCCTCGGGCAGATTCACCGTTGAGGCACTTACAGATATTCTCCAGACAGTTGCCGTGGTCCAGGCGATATCCCTCGTGCTCGCAACTATCGCATGTGTTGGAGCCGCCCACCTTGCAAGCTGGTCCCGTGGCTGCGGTGCCATGGTTGTATGCAGTGGAAGTATGTCCGGGTCTGGAAAAGTGCACCAGACGGTCGCTAAGCAGCTTTTGCTATTCCTTGGCCCAGAAAGCGGCGCGTCTGTAGCATCACAGGCTCTGAGAACTAAACTTCCTTATGTAACTACTACCTCATCTCGCAACCAAACCCAAGAGGAAGCACAAGCAGAAGCATTGATTGGATTGCTTGCTGCTCATGATGCGAAAATGAAATCAATGTCGTTCTCTCGGCACCTCAAAAGCTTCTTGTTGCATACTTAGACTTATGTAAATACTAGCGTCAGAGCGTCTCACGTTCCCTGACCCAGACATGAAATTTCCAATGCGTATATCGCAGCCACAAACATTTTGCTTGCAGTGCCCCGTGACGAGATCGAGGGTCAACCCGTCGTGGTCGCAACTTGCGCAAATGTGACCATTGTGCCTGCTGCAAGGGATGAGTTGGGCCGGTCCCGCTGGAGTTCCACTCGTGCATGTGCATTTATTCTGCTTGCAGTGCCCGTCTTCCAGTCGGAAATTTGCAGGATCGCTACAGCTGGAGCAAATGTTGGCATCGTGCGTCGTGCACTCGGGACCAGTCGCAGCGGTTCCGTTCGCACACTTGCAAACATTCTGCACGCAGCGGTTGGTGCCATCGCTTTCGTTCACGATGCGATATCCGTCGTTGTTGCACTTGCTGCAAATATTGCCGCCGTCGATGATACACAGTGCGCCGGTTTCAGCGTGTCCGTTTTCGCAGTCGCAGGAATTCTTCTTGCACTCGTTATCCTCAAGTCGGTAGCCACCGTCATCGCAACGTGTACAAATTTCCGCATTGTGAGTGGCGCACTCTGCGCCGGTAGCTTCAGCTCCATTTTCGCAGCTGCATACATTTTGCTTGCACAGCTTGGCAGTGGCGTCCAAGTGGAACCCGTCAGCTGCATTGCAGGACTTGCATACCTGCTTGTTGTGCTGGAAGCAACTCGGGTCGCCGGGGTCAACCGCATCTCCATGCGTGCACTTGCACTCGTTCTTGATGCAGGTGTGATTGAAAAGCCGATACCCGGCATCACAGCCACTGCAGATGCTTGCGCCGTCCGAGGTGCAGTTAGCGCCCGTGGCTTGTGTGCCACCAGGACAGCTGCACTGATTGAGGGCGCAGGAGTAGGCGTTCGTATCGAAGTGATACCCCGCTGCAGTGCACGCCGTGCAGTTTTGCGTGAGACCGTTTTCGTCGCACCCTGCGCCCGTCTTCGGTACCCCGTGATCGCATTTGCACGTGCGCAACTTGCACTCGTCGCTACCGTCAGCAGCTTTGCCAGTGTAGTAGTCTTCGTGGCTGCAGTCGGTACACTTTTCCGTATTGTGCTGCGGGCATTCCGGGCCCGAAGCGGGCGTCCCCGTGCTGCACCGGCACAGGTTCACCGCGCAGACGTGCTTTGTCGCATCATTTGGGTCGACTTCGCGGTGGTACCCCGCGTCACACTGATCACAGTCCGGCGCCCCATCCACGTCGCACGCCGTGCCCGTCGTACCCGACCCGAAGTTGCAGGCGCACTGCTTTTCCACACACGCGCCGTCTTTCAAAACGGCTCCTGCCGTCGCGCATGAGGTGCAGAACGGATCGCCATGGATCTCGCAATCGGTTCCGTTCGCGGCGTCGCCAGAGGCGCAGGTGCACTGGTTTAGTGCGCAGCTGTCGACCTCGAGGTGGTACCCATTGTCACAGGTGTCGCACAGATTCGTGTTGTTGGCCGTGCAGTGTTCGCCCCACCTGGCGTCGCCGTTGTCGCAAATACAGATATTTTGCACACACTTCTTATCTGCGTCCATCGTGTAGCCGGCATTCTCGCAGGTCTGACAGATGTCGCCGCCGTTTGCAGTACAGTTCGCGCCTGTGGCGGACTTTCCGTTGAGGCAGGCGCAGACATTTTCCAGGCAGTTGCCGTGCTCCAGGCGATACCCCTCGTGTTCGCAACTGTCGCATGTGTTGGAGCCGTTCACCCTGCAATCTGGTCCCGTGGCGGCAAAACCATTTTCGTATGCAGTGGGAATATTTCAGGTCTGGAAGAGTGCACCAGATGGTCGCTCGGCAGCTTTTGCGATCGCGTGGCCAGAACAAAGCGGCTTGGCATATAAGCCGTAGCATCACAGNACCCCATGGTCGCATTTGCACGTGCGCAACTTGCACTCGTCGCTACCATCGGCAGCTGTACCCGTGTAGTAGTCTTCGTGGCTGCAGTCGGTACATTTTTCCGTATTGTGCTGCGGGCATTCCGGCCCCGAAGCGGGCGTCCCCGTGCTGCACCGGCACAGGTTAACCACGCAGACGTGCTTTGCCGCATCATTCGAATCGACTTCGCGGTGGTACCCCGCGTCACACTGATCACAGTCCGGCTCCCCATCCACGTCGCACGCCGTGCCCGTCGTACCATCCCCAAAGTTGCAGGCGCACTGCTTTTCCACACAAGCGCCGTCTTTCAAAACGGTTCCTGCCGTCTCGCATGAGGTGCAGAACGGATCGCCGTGGATCTCGCAATCGGTTCCGTTCGCGGCGTCGCCAGAGGCGCAGGTGCACTGGTTTAGTGCGCAGCTGTCGACCTCGAGGTGGTACCCATTGTCACAGGTGTCGCACAGATTCGCGTTGTTGGCCGTGCAATGTTCGCCCCACCTGGCGTCGCCGTTGTCGCAAAAACAGATATTTTGCACACACTTCTTATCTGCGTCCATCGTGTAGCCGGAATTCTCGCAGGTCTGACAGATGTCGCCGCCGTTTGAAGTACAGTACGAGCCTGTGGCGGACTTTCCGTTGAGGCAGGAGCAGACATTTTCCAGGCAGTTGCCGTGCTCCAGACGATACCCCACATGTTCGCAACTGTCGCATGTGTTGGAGCCGTTCACCCTGCAATCTGGTCCCGTGGCGGCAAAACCATTTTCGTATGCAGTGGGAATATTTCAGGTCTGGAAGAGTGCACCAGATGGTCGCTCGGCAGCTTTTGCGATCGCGTGGCCAGAACAAAGCGGCTTGGCATATAAGCCGTAGCATCACAGCCTCACTAGACTCGCTTATGTCAATACCCCTCGGAAACAAACAACCTAGCAAGTCGCGCTTGCTGCTCATGCAAATGCCGTATTTTTTTCGCTTCCTTTAAGAGCCACTTGCTGCATACTTCTTACGTAAATTCGAGCGTAACAGCTTCTTACCATCCCTGACCCACACATGAAGATATTTGAAATACGTATATCGCAGCGACAAACATTTTGTATGCAGTGACCCGTGCGGAAATCGAGGGTCAACCCGTCGTGGTCGCAACTCGCGCAAATGTGGCCATTGTGCCTGCTGCAAGGGATGAGTTGGGTCGGCCCCGCTGGAGTTCCACTGGTGCATGTGCAATTGTTCTGCTTGCAATGCCCGCCCTCCAGACGAAAATTTGCGGGGTCGTCGCACCTGGTGCAAATGTTGGCATCGTGTGTCGTGCACTCCTATTGTGAGCAATTATTCCCCCTCCCCATATTGAAAAGGCAGGCTTCTGTTCCTGATTTGTGAAAATATCGCTTCGCACGTAAAGAAATGCCTATGCAGAAAGCCGTCGCTCCTCATCGCATTCGGCACCAGGCGCTCTCTGTTACTGTTTGAGCTACAGAAGCAACTGGCCTTGGTTGTAGGCTTTTGCTTTGTAAGCAAATCATGCTACATGTCATAACTCTGACTTTGGTTATGGGGAGGGGGCAACATCATTTTTCATTTTGATAACTCCGGACCAGTTGCTGGATCTCCGTCGTCGCACTTGCAAATATTCTGCGCGCAGCTGTTTGCGCCACTCAGCGGATGGGGCACGATACGATATCCATCGTAGTCGCACTTGCTGCAAATATTGCCCCCGTCGATGATACAAAGTGCGCCGGTTTCAGCCTCTCCGTTTTCGCAGTTGCAGACATTCTTCATGCACTTCTTGTCTTCAAGTCGGTAACCATCGTCGATGCAACGTGTGCAAATTTGTGTGTTGTGAGTGGTGCAAGCGGCACCGGTAGCAGCAACCCCACCGTCGCAGTAGCAAACATTCTGCTTGCACAGCTGGACGCTGGCATCCAAGTGGAACCCGTCAGCTGCATTACAGGATTTGCATACCTGCTTGTTGTGCTCAAGGCAACTGGGGTCGCCGGGGTCGACCGCCTGTCCATTGGTGCACTTGCATTGGTTCTTGATGCAGGTGTGATTGAACAATCGATACCCGGAATCACAGCAAATACAAATGGTAGCGCCGTCCGAGGTGCAGTTCGCACCCGTGGCTTGAGTGCCACCAGGACAGCTGCACTGATTGAGGGCACAGGAGTAGGAGATCGAATCGAAGTGATACCCTGCTGCAGTGCAAGCAATACAGTTTTGCGTGAGACCGTTTTCGTCGCAACCCTTGCCCGTCTACGGCACCCCATGGTCGCATTTGCACGTGCGCAACTTGCACTCGTCGCTACCATCGGCAGCTGTACCCGTGTAGTAGTCTTCGTGGCTGCAGTCGGTACA